TTGAAATTGTGTTGATTTTGATCACACTTAACCCTGTTGGGTAACTTTAAACCCGTTAGCTTCAATCAACCTATATTGAACTGAAAATTGACAATAGTTTTAATTGTTAACTTTTTTAGCTTTTCAAAACTTGAAGCATTGGCGGATCAAGAGGGGGCGGTCACAGTGGTATGCTGCCATGCTAAGTTGAAAATCAGTAAATCCATAATTTGCCCTAAGTCCACTAATGGACCAGTTTAGAAGGTACAAATTAACACATTCTGATACATGTCGTAACAAGAATTTTACCTAGAACACGATTCACGCAACAGAAATTGATGAAACTAACTCTTATTGATCTGTTTAACATTTTTTGATGCGTGAATTCAAACCTTGCGCTCATGGAAAAATTAAAGTCTAGTTCAGACAAATTGCGCAGTAAGGGTTACTGTAACAGTCTCTGCGGTATGAAAAGATGGCAACCTTGATTTTGGATCTTCGGCTCAGCTGTTGCACTTAGTTAACACCTAGAACAATACAAGGCAGGAAGGAACATGGCTTGATTAAGAAGCCTGCCGAAACTGTTGTGGTAGGTGTGATTTGATTCAAGTAGACCATTGTTCTTCTTGTGAGCAGGGAATTCAAAATTCTTGTAACCAATGTAAACTGAAAAACGTTGTTATCTTAGTTTGGAGTTGATTTCAGTAAGTCACTTTGTGCAAGTTGTGTTTAACATGTTTTGGTTAAAAGCCATGTATCAGAACGCTTCAATTTTTGTCTTGTTTACTGGTCCATTACAAAATATAATTCTGCTCGTTTCGAAGAAAGTAGTTCAAGAGGTTTCCATTGACCACCTGGGATCAATTCATTTTTGATGATGACAAATGAGGGGCTTGGAGTACAAGGCACATTAGTGCATTTTTTGCTTTTTCAAAATGTTCTTTTTAGAAGTTTCGAAATTTCATGGATCCTCAAGGCAGAAAGAAAGTTCAAACTGACTTTTTGATGTTTAAAAATAGGAATTTGGGAGCGAATTTTTCACAAAATATGCATCAAGACCAGTTTCACTTGAAATTGTTAATATCTCAACTTTTAAAAACTGCACTAATGCGCCTTGACCTCCAAGCCCCTCAATTTCACTTCAATGCAGGAATACCAGAGAGAATTTAAATGAGGCCTTGTTCTTTATGATGATTAAAGGGAAAAGATTAACATAAAAGAATCCAAAGGAAGCTGAGTTTATATAAATGTAGGAACTTTATTTACAGGAAATTTTTTATAATTCATTATTTACAGTTGCCTCAGCTGGTTTATCACTTTAAAGCTTACCAATTTCATTCTTGAATTTAGTGATTGTTTCTTTAGCATTTTTAAGACAGTCCTTGTACTCGCTAATTTCTTGTCTAATCTTCTTTTTGGCATTTAAAATGGCTTGAAGGGTTCCCTCGAGTGGTTTCACAATAACTGGAATAGTTTTGTCGCCGTAACAGACAACACATTTTTCGGGCATATTTTTAGTGGTAATGATAATCTCTCGAATTTTTTTGCATTAATCTACACAGGGTTATGTGTTATAGTGCTTTTCAAAGATTTATTGCTCTACCCTTCAATTTTAATATATGAATGGCCGAAAATGTGCTGTCTGTTACGCTGACTTTTTACCGTGTAACAGACAGCCTATTTTCGGAATTTACATAATATTAATTGAGAAGTAGAGCAATAAATCATTAGAAAGCGTTATAATAGGACCCTTTTAAGGTTAATGCGAAAAAATTCGAGCGATCATTATTTTTACTAAATATGACCGAAAAATTTGTTGTCTGTTACGGCGACAAAATTATTCCAGTTATCGTGAAACCACCCTCTCCTTCTTTTCATCAACTAAAACAAATTAGAATTAGTCACCTAAATTAATTTTAAAGCAACTTTAAGTTAACAATTGAAAATAAAAAAACCGAGATAAGAATAATATTAGAAGATGATCATTCCAGATACAATAAAGAATACATTTAATCTTGCAGCCAGGGCTTCGTTCTGGGCTAACCTTCTTAGTTCCATTTCATAATCGTACCTTTGATGCAAAAGGTCTTCATTTACATCTTTTCTTGCTTCATGCTAACCAGATATTGATTGCCGAGGTCAAAAAATGAGTAACTCTGATTGTGACATTACTAATCTCCACTCTTGTGTCCCTTTTTTTTAGAGGAAACTAGCCAAAGTACAATTTTTTTTTACATTTTCTGTAAATTCCCCATACTCATTCATAACCATTCACAGATAGTTTTAAAGAGATACTTTAATTGGTTCTCTTTTAAAAAATAATACATAATTGGGGATTTTTAAATACTTGATAATATCGAAAAGGGGCCATCTTTGAAATTTTGACAAACTTACTTTCTTAAAGGAATCTTCTCTTAATGGATACGCAAACCAGCCCCTAAAAGCCTACGACTGATTTTCTTGTGAAACATCATTCAAGGGGGTCCAATTTAACAATAATTTAGAAAAGGAGCTATCTGCAAAGAGACTTGAAGTCAACCTAAAGTGTTGTTAAAATACACTTTCTATCTTTACTGACAAGCTGCTGCTTTGTTCCTTAGATTTGCCTATCATTCTTAGCTAGATAGAGAACTGTCCTGTAGCTCTAACAACACAAAGCAACTAAGTAAAAATGTTGACTTTTGAATTTAATTTCACATATGCTTTGTCACACAATAATATGTGTTCCACTGGCACTGGCACAGAAAAAACACGACACGGTGATAATATTTTTCAGGGAAGATCTCAGCACAATAGAAAGGTCCTTTTA